ATCCTCAGTGTCCATTTCCAAATCTCTTGAAAATTTCTCATTAAAAAAAACATTTAAATTAAATTTAAGTTTTGTAACACAACTACTTATAAAAATAAACTAATATTGCATTACGAATGAAAAATTGACAGATAAATAATCGAAGAACAAAAATATGAACCATGAGTTTGTGTTCAAAATTTTACTAACTGACGATAAACATTAAAAAAAAAAACAATATGTTTAAATATAATTATATTTGTTATTCTATTTGGCCAGCACAATGTTATGATTTACTGATCATTACATTCTAGCCAATATGCATGCAATGTTATGTTTATTGAATTTATTTCTTATAATATATGTATTTCGTAAAAAAAAATTTTATTATTCATAAAAACGTAATTTAAATTTATATTAAACTGTTTATTCTGTACAATGGATCCAAATTTAAGTATTGACCTAAAGCATTAACTACCCACATAATTATTTATGTTCTATTAGCCTTTATGGTGCTTTATTCGGGGAATCAAAATAGTGAGAGGAACGTTACACTTCAATTTGATTTACTAATATCGACTATAAACAATACTAATGTCAGACATCTGTAACAGTATTTTTCTAGGTCGAGGTGCCTATACATTTGCTGAATGGTAATAATTGTCAAAAGGATTCTAGGTAACAGGAAAATTATTTTGGTAAGATAATGACTATCAAGTCAGGATTGGTAATTTATTGATGACTTAGAAAGTTAAATTCCGTATTTTGATGATTTGAAAAAAAAATTAGTTATTTACTAAAAAAAATGCAAATTAGTTGCAACACAGTGTATAGAAACCATCAATATTATATCTAATCAAAACGAAATCTTTGTAATATACAGACATTGAATAATTTCCGTAATTTAAAGACAACCTATAACTTATTTCCTTATTACTCCAATACTTATATTATATATAAAAATAATGTATGAAATATTAATATATATTAAATATTAATTATTAACATACAATTTTTATATTATACATATTCTGAACTTATTGGTTATGAGGTTATGAAAGTAGGTGCAGTATAGAGGTATCCAGTCAATTGTATAGTTTATATTCTTTTCGAATATTTACAATCAGCTGAGAGACGAAGAAAAATAAAAAAAAGTTTAATTAAATTACGTATATAGTATATAGTGCTGTAAAAGTTTAAAAATTTAATTTTCGAGTAACTAAATTTGAAATAGTTTTAGTAATTTAAAATATCTAAAAACTCTGAAATTCTATAAGTTTAATACAACAATTAATTCAAAAATTAAACATTTATTTGTAAATATATCTGATTATAGTGACTAAAAACCGGATTTAATTGATATTATGCACCTTTTTTTTCAGTCAAGATAAATCTGCAAATATATATCCCATATAACTTTATGTATTCTATATTTTTGTTTATTTAATTTTATAATGCAATCTTTTGCAATATTCCATGTTTATTTAATTTCATTATAATTTTGTGTTTAAATGAACAAAATATTTAATTCAACTAATTTTGTTTTATGACAACACAACTATGACTTACTCTGCAGTTTTCTTTATGAGCAGATAATCAGTGGTTGTACCATAAATCCATTTATTAAGAATTTTAAGTGATAGAAGATTTAATTTTGTAAATGGATTTAAAATTTTGAAATGTACTTAATTACCATTTTTAATTAAAAAAAATAATATTTATGTAATTTTTTATTGAAATTTCTATGTATTTTTTAGTGCAACTATACAATTTTGTGTTTTTAATGCAATTAAATCGAATCTTTAATATTGATATGGTCTTTACATTGTATATTTGTATGGTATTTTATTTAAATTCATATAGATATTTTATAAAATAACAGGTGCTCGCTAACTATTATAGTCTTACTGTATTCTTGTACAGCACTCGAAGAGCTATATAATTATTGCGGGATTTGCTGACTTTTGGGGTCTGACTTCCGTTCAAATCTTGAATGTTGTCTGCATAATTTAACGTTCTCATGTTTTATTAATTATCTAACTTAAACATACACGATTTCGCGATAGAAAATAGTCATAGATTTAAGTGCTTTTTTACGTTAATCTATGTACGTTATGGCAATGGAAGGAGGATATTAATTTACGATTGTAATTGTTTTTAACAGTAACCGGTTTTATTTGACGTGGATATATGGTGTTTGTTGTAACAAAACATAATGATATATATTATAATTTTGTTTACATATTAATATGATTTTATAGTACGAATATGGGAAGCATATGATTATTGTCCTTCTACGTTTTAGGCAAACTCTTATTCCATGATTTTGGATTTTATTCTGCATTATAATTATTTATCGTGTTTCTAACTATTCACGCGGCGTTTAAAAAATTATATTTACAACGAATTAGAATTCAAAACACGAATCAATTATATGTACACATATTTGTGCATTTCAAAAAATGTTACAATTTTTCTTGATCCGTCATCTTATACCTAACTGATGATACACAAAAAATAATATTTGATAAATAATTAGTACCGTATGGACAATCGTCAAGTGCACCCACATTATTGCCACCTTCGTACAACGATATTCTTGGTGTCGTTTATTTTTTATAGATATAAACGTCTCGAGACTTGCGTCAATCGAAGTGAAATCGCGTCCAGAGGAAAATTTAGCCTTTCAACTCACTATTCACTGACCATCTGAATAAAAGTAAATATTAGCTATAATTTATAATAAAATTGCTTTATTATTTAACCAACTATCAAAATTAATTATTGCCGTGTCCTAAAGCCAAAGCACCACCATAATAGTGGCACCTTTTGACTCAGATAACTATACTTACTTATAATACCACAAAATATTATTGTCATATTAATATTATTATTTTGTGAAAAAAATCAAAATATTTTATCTATCCAAACCGCTACTCCGTACTATTTGCTAAAAATCAGCCTTAGTCTACCAGTTCAAATGATAACAATTAAGGTGATATAAACACACAAAGATAGGAGTCCACGCACTCTAATACATATACACCAAATCAAAATAATTTGCCATCACCGATATCCATAAAAGGCGTAAACATTTTTTTTTTAACTATGCAATGCAGTTATTAATATCACTGATCCAGACGGTTTTAGCTGCAAATAAAGGTCTTTGCATCTCAAGCTTCAACTTGACACACTTAATAACTACAGAAAAATAATTCACTTTCAAAAAGATAATGATGCAGAGTATTATATATACTAATTACAATCTGACAAAGCTTTTAGAGTAGTTATATTATTTTGACTTGGCGAGTGTGGAGGTATAAGGAATCTATTATTCATACTCAAAATAAAATAAATAAAAATTAACCTAATCCGAGATTTTCGACTCAATAAAAATCAAATCTTTAGCATTAATCCTTTACGTCGGTACCGAATATTTACATTGTCGTACCTTAATGTAATTCAATGATGTTCAGTCAATGCTGTATTCTATAATCTCATGTAAAATGTATTATTTTAATACATTATATATTTGTTAGAGTATAACCTTTAATTTTTAGTATTTTTAATTTATTTCAAATCGCATAAATTAGTGAAGTATGCATATTTTTTTTAAAATACAAAATATTTTTTTCTATCACAAATCTGTCTATCTTTTAAATCTACTTTCTGTGAAATTATAAGTATATACATAACGTATTATTAAAATATGCAACTATAATAATATATCATGGTTTGTATTTTTAAATAATAAAAACTATTATATTATGAGTACGTATAAATGAAATAATTTTAATTTTTAAATTTTTAAATCATTTTATCATACATATTGTATCAAATATTTTTTGTTATTTATTTGGTTGAGGTAATATCAAAGTTTTTTTATGAGTTTGCGATCGTTCAAGTCTTGAAAATGTGTGCATAGTTAGTTACTAAAAGCGTATGTGACTAGTGTATTGTGTATTTGCTTATTAAAATTACGCATAATACGTTATTCATTAGCGTTAGTGGAAGAGAAATATTTTCCGCTAAAACAAGGTGGTACCTACTTTTTAACAAGAATAATTATAAACTAGTAATACGATAAGAAACTTGAAATCTTATTTAAATGATTTTTGAAGTTTACTGAGAATTAACTGTCATACTTTTTTGATTATTTTTTCAATTCTCTATAAACACTGTATAAAAGAAAATACATACGTTAGCAATTTTTAAAATTATATTTAAGGGACTGATGTTTCATTAAATATACAAATTTCATAACAATTTAAATATGTTTTTAAATTTTTTATCGTATTACTAACTTCACTGATACGATAAAGAAAAAAAAATAAGTAATTTATATGGTTATTTTTTTTTTTAATACAGTCAGTAACGAATTAATCATTTTATCTTTTTATAAATCTTTTAGAATGACTTGAGTTAGTGTATAGATAAATAATTTTTAAAACGTGTTAATCTTTTAATTATTTAAGTTATTTTAAAGGTATAATTTTTTACATATTTTGTAAATTGTTACTAAAATTATTTATGCATATAAATTTTAATAAAATAATAGTTGTGAATGTATAATGACATCACACAATGATTTTAGTTTTTATATTTGCTATTCATTTTACTAAAAAACCAAATTAAAATACTATAGATTTTATGATGAATAAACATTTTAATTACTAAAATTATTAATTATTCATTAAATATTTATTTAGTTACTGGTTAGACTATTCATGTTATGTCGATTTAAATAATTAATGATTTTTTTAAATTTAAAAACTTGCTATAAAATGAATGTTATTATTAAGTAGAAAAAATATTAAAAAATTATGATAATAAAACTGATTTAAGATCTACTATATTTTAACTGTACTTACCAACCGATAAAATAGTTTTTCAAGCTTATTCATACACAAATTATGAAAAAAACGAGAAATGTTTAGCCAGCTAGATTTGATATCAATTTTAAAATTAAAGAAGTAAAATAATAAAGAAAGAATAATTTATTAAATATTTGTATAAAACTGTTATAAATAAGTATACATTTTAACAAAAAAAAAAAAAAAAACATAAAACTGTTTGATTTAGAAGGAAATTTTGCGATGTTTAATGATTATTAATAGTAGTATCCATTTCCATAGCCGTGTCCGTAACCATGTCCATAACCTTGATTGCCCCCATAGTATCCGCCCCTATTACCGTATCCACTATTGTAACCGTATCCACTATTGTAACCGTATCCATTATTGTAGCCGTAACCACCGTATCCTTGTTGACCATAGCCACTGTAACCTGGAAAACAAAACGAATTTTCTAACTATAGATATCATTATAGCCTTAAAGCATATCTTACCTCCAGTGAAACCAATTCCGACACCTACTCCATAGCTGCCTCCATAGTTATTATAACCTCCTCGATGACCTCCATATCCTCCGTGATATCCATTGTTATATCCACCTCCATAACCACCACCGTAACCACTGCTAATACCGATAAATCCTATAGGTGTAGCTGTAGCAATGGCTAATGTAGCTGCCAAAAATATACACTGAAAAATACAAAATAATAATTATGATTTCATATACATGTGATTAAACATTTATAGGAATCTACTATGAATAATTTTTGACGATAAGGTTAAGGTAATAAACAAACACTAATAACTGTTATATTAATTTCTGTATTTTTCTTTCTATTTTTTAGTTTTATTTCAAAATTTACTCTGAAAACAATCTTTTGATTTAATCATATATTTTTATATAATATAATTTACTAAAACATATTCAAGTAAAAGCAATACAATTTGTAAATACTATTCAAAAGAACATTAAATATTAAAATTAGCAACATTATGACCATAGAATCTTGGTTCTAAAATCATGCATGGAATGAATATTATAATGAAACACAAGAGGTGTTGTAATAAATAATTGCTTATATAATAAATAGCTACCTATAGCTTTTATTAATACCGAAGTCGCTACTTATTCTGAACAAAGTGGGTAAAGACTAAAGAGGTTTTTATCTCAATATTAAGCGAAACTAAGTGGAATTCAAATCGAGCGATGTTGGTTGTTGTTTGATTAAATGCTGATAATTATTAATTTATGTATAATAATAAATATCTTAAATATGTTTATATCTATAGCATGCGAATAATCGGATGGTCCAGTGGACGGATTAATTGGCTCTATTCGTATTTAAAGTTAAGAATATAATTTCGTTATTATACTCATACTAAAAATCAAATAAATAAATAAATATATATATGTACTTATGCCCTATACTATATTGAAAGTCTGAATCGAATAGTACTATTAAAAAACTCGATACAGTTTTATTCGAATTCGATGATGACATTATGAAATCTCACAAAACTGTGAGTATGATAATAGTTTTTTTTTTAAGAAAACATGAGGGTTCGATTTGGTGGTTTTGAATAGGAGATGTACGTGAAAATAGTAAATTATAAAAATACTCACCAATACTATTTTGCTGGCACTCATGTTTATTTCTTTCGTCTTCGGTGCGGTTGTATTAATAATTATTATTACTGACCACAGCGGACTATTCCTTAGTTCTTCGACCGATTTACAGAAACGTCTGAATCGGTGTTATCGGGCACTCAGCGTTTTATTTCGTGCCAAGAGTGCCGTACAGAGTGTAAGTTTTTATATTTTTTGGTTTTTACCGTCACTCTCGGCAATTTGTTCAGGACATTGGCATCGTTTCAGCCTTGAAATTTTGATCACGGTTCAAAACCAGTTTTCCTCGTTTTTATTTTTTTTTTTTTTGCGAGCACGGATAACATATTTTTATTTACCCCATGTACATACCTCTGAGGAACGAGCTGCGTTCCGAAGAATAAATTTCAAGATTTATGCATACGATAATGGTAGACAATAATATATGTTAATATAGTAGTGTATAAAAATATATTATTATACTCATAATACCATGTTCGGATTTTCGCCAAACATCATTTGCACAGAAACCACGTTTTATATTTTTTACATTATTACCTTACGAAAAAACTGTTTAATATAATGTTATACCTACCTTAATCATCATAAAATATACAAAAATAGTAAATATATTTATATTATACTAGATATATACATATACATACACACATATATATATATAGGTAAATCATAATATAATCCATGTAATTCAATTATACTATGATAGGTAATAAATATGGAGATATCTTAAGCAACTAAATTTTTTTTTTTTTTTTTTACCTACACTTTTTGGGAAATACCAACAATATGTTGAAAGATTATTATAATATGATCGTATAATAGGTAGTATGAAATTATACAGAGTGTTAAATTGTGTGTATCATACACTGATACCTTCCTTAACTGTAATAATATTTAAAAATTTAACGGAAATATGAATGATTTGATATTAATTTAAAATAACTTTATAAATATTGGGTATCTAACTGAAATAATAAAATACGTAAGAAACACAGAAAACAGTGTAGTTATTTGAGTTTTTACATTTAATATATAAATATAGGTGAATCAAAAAATATGCATTTTAATAATGTTGGTTATCGTATATTACTATAGTAATATAGTTATTATTTTTTAAATTAAAATATTTTAAAAATATTAAACAAAAAAACAATTATTGAAGTGAATAAACACAGTTAATAACACTGTGATTCATACACATGCTTATACAAGTAATAAGAACACTATAATATGTTTTTAAGATGTGTTTGTTTTTTTCTCATCATACCAATTCGAAGAACACTAATAATAATTATTGTTCGTATATTTTATTTCGTAATGTTATTTAAAAATGTTTTCTATCGCCTATAATATTATAACATTATGTAATTAAAATTATCTTCCTAGACAATTATAGTAAAATTATAATGATAAAATAGTAAATTTAAAATAATTTTCTGATAAAGCAGTAATTTTCTAAGTGTAGGTATTGCGTTTTGTCACTGATAACCCATATACTTTAATTTCAATAAACAATGACTAAAATTTAATTGTCTATATGACCTTATAAGTTATAAGTTCCTATGAGTTATGACTAGTATGTTTTATTTGTTGAACATGATAAACATGCTAATGGATTGGCTGTAATTTATTCATTAGTATTATGAGTAGTCAATTAGTATTCTATTTGTATGATATCATATTATTTTGAATTATTTTTCTTCACTCTTCTTTAATATTGCTAACTATTAGCACATAAATCATAGCCTATGTAAATTTTTCATAAAATTATTATAACTAGTTTGTTTCATATATAAGTATATAAAATATAATAATATTTGATTTTGAGCATTATTGTGGATCTCACCTCTTTAAAAACGTTTTTTGCATTAAAATGATATTTTAGATTTAGAAGGCAGTGAATTCTGTGTGTTTGATAATATCAATAATAAGAATTAGTTTAATATTGTGTGATCATTACTATTCCAGGTAGAATATATTAATATAAAAAATCAATAGAACTGTAACCTCTTAAAAACAAAAAATTTAATGAAATATAATTTTTAATAATATTGTATAAAGTTCATAGAATATTTAAAAAAAAAAGTAATTTGTTGTACTTCGTTCATTACGTATTGCTATTCGATGATTTTACTACTAAAATAAAATCTGCGATACAGAGGTCAGCCATTAAGCACAAGTGTATAATAAATAACAAAATTGTATCAATAAACGAAATTATATTTAAATAATTGCATATAATAAAAATATTATAGCTACACTTTTAAGTAAACACTATTATATTTCAGTATTCACTTTTAAAATTACCAGGCTGTAATTGCAGTTTGAATAAATTTATTGTATAAGTGTGACAAAATTCGTCAAAACATCAATTACAAATATAATATTGTGTATTCGAGATTTTTAAAATTTTTATATAACAAGACTAAAACGCAATACAAGATTTTAGTTAATTTTCTCTTTATAACAAAAGTAAAAATAATGCAAGAAGAATTACACATAGTTTTAAAGAACTCTGATTAAAATATTTACCAATTTTTGTTATTCGCAAATGAATTTAGAACTATACTTAAATGTTCACTTAAAGCTTATAACATCATTTACAAAATATTTTACTTCATCTTGAACTATTTATAACCATCAAACAATTTTATAAATAACGATAAAAATTATTGTTTGTTACATTTTTAAAATTGATTTAACCTCAATTGTTTTGTACCTTTCAAATCATAATAAATAATACACCAACATATTTTTATGTATATTATTTAATTTATATTTTAATAAATCGTTAAAATCACAAAAACCAACTAACTACAAGTATTTCGTAGAAAAAACTGCAGAAAATCATCATTATTACAGCTATTTTAAATGTAAACAAACTATAATCTATTGCAAGTTTCCTCACCACCTTAGCACATTATGAAAATCGATTTATATCAATTTAATGTTGCATGAGGTATTGCATATGCGCGTTTTTATTGTGGTTTCGATATAAACTTTAGGCCTAGTCACACAGAAGATAATGAGAAGATGTCACGATTAAGAGTCTAATGCATATTTCAGCTAAAATAATATTATAACGGCTTTGTAAAATTTTATTTTATAAAATAATATTTCTTGTGACCGAATATCTCTCATTACCTCATTGACAATGCTTGAATTCATGACGTACATAATATTAATGATGATTCAATAAAGGTACTCTACAATTAAAATGTTATATGTAATTTCATTTATATTGATATATTTTTGTCTACTGAATTCAACATTGCACACATATATCTGAAAATAAATATAATTCATACGTATATAAAGCAAATATTATTAATTTAAATACAATTATTAAATTATTTCTTTAATTCCACTTACTCTTTACTACCGCTCTAATTTTATAATCTTGTGACAGAAAAACATTCAATTTCATTAATTATTATGCATCTATAATCTATAAACGCATAGCTACATGATGAGTAAATAGATAATTCATATATCATCAAAATCTAAAATCTATTCTAATAAAATTGTTCATCAAAAATTTAAAAATTAGGTTTGTAACACAATACTTATAAAAATAAACTATTGCATTACGAATGAAAAATTGACAGATAGTAATTGAAGAACAAAATAGAATGAACTATGAGTTTGTGTTCAAATAACTTTACTAACTGACGATAAACATTATAAAATAACAATAATTTTAAATATTATTATATTTGTTTTTCTATTTGGCCAGCACAATGTTATGATTTACTGATCATTACTTTCTAGCCATTATGCAAGCAATATTATATTTTGAATTTATTTGTAATAATATAGTATTTCTTAAAAAAAATAAATATCTATTTATAAAACGTAGTTTAAATTTATTTAAACTGTTTATTCTATACAATGGATCCAAATTTAGTATAGACCTAAAGCATTAACTACCCACATAATTATTTATGATCTATTAGTTATTATGGTGCTTATTTGGGGAATTAAAATAGTGAGAGAACGTTACAATTCAATTTGATTTACTAATGTCAGACTGATTTTCTACTCTGAAACAGTATTTTCTAGGTTGAGGTGCCTATACATTGGTTGATACGTGATAATTATAAAAGGGTGATTGATAATAGAAAATCATTCTGGTAAACTACGAACTATCAGTTTAGGGATTGGTAATTTATTGACGATCTAGAAAGTACAAAGTTGTGTCAATAAACAAAATTATTATATTTAAATAATTGCATAAATTAAATATATCAAATCTTCAATTTTAATTAAACTATTTTTTCAGTATTCACTTTTTAAAATTACTAAGGCTGTAATTGCATTTTTAAAAGGTAACAGTGGCGTATTTATGTTTTTTTCATGGTGATGAGGATATGGAACTATATCGTTGTATTAAGTATGGTAATGGATATACAATGTTTATGTTTTACATACCTATACCAAATGAAGATACCATTTAGGATATTGTATAATATATTATAATATTTTTATTCTGCAAATTCAATCAATTATTTAATAAATACTTTTAAATGTGTCTTTTTTAACATAACCAACCACTGATATTTTAAATAATAAATAAATTATAATTGTATAATTTGAAATAATTAAACATTATTTAATTTTAATTAATAAAATACATAGGTACTTAATATTAGATAAATTACAAAATTTGTATTTAGATTCAAGAAAATGTGTTATGAATTAGGTTTGTTAGTTTAGAGTACTTGTTTAAATTTTATAAATAGATATACAAATATAAACTTCTACATTGCACAGGTTAGCAGTTCGACTGGGTTTCTTAAATAAATATACTTATGAAAGTGCTTTCTCAATCTAAATACATAAATAGGTATAAAATATTTTATTCTTTTAATTTAAAATTTATTTTCACATCAAATTTATTTTAAGGAAAATACATTTTATGAAATGTTAAAATTTTAGATTTATCATATTTCGATATAAGAAAAGACAATAATATTTAAGTATTTTAATTAGAGCTGAATTTGTATCAAAGTGGATTTTTGTAGATTTTGAAACGTAGTTTGTTATTACATAATTTGGATTATGTAACAATAAATACATTTATGAAACTTTTATTTTGCATTTTGATCTTAAATATCTAAGATATTTTAATAATATTTTAAATATCATATTAATTTTAATTGATATAC